GACCACGAGCCATTCGCCAGGCGCATTGAACGTTGCGTGTTTGCAGCTTTGCGGTCGGATCATTTGATGGACTACACAGTGAGAAAAATAATTATTAAATTAGAAGTTTCGAAGGAAAAACAAAGACATGTTTTATGAAAATCGGAAGGCCTCACCATCAGTGTCTTACAAAATAAATGAAATAAAATTAGGATTGGATAGAAAGATCTAACCCTTAACCACCCCTTTTCTTCCTATGCACTGGTGACGATGGAGCCAACAAAGCAACTTTCAATAATATAGTATCCAACCCTATCTCTCTGCTCTTTCCATTGGCTTCGTTGCTTTTCTTATCCCACATTAATCAATGTTGATTTCAATTAACCATCTCTTCACTTTGTCCGGCCCCGCCAAGGAAGAAGAGTGTGTGGGTGGGTTGGTGTGTGTGTGTGTGTCGTTTTTATTAAATGTTCTCAATGGTGGGCGTGGTCATCACTCGAGCCGCTAGCTGGCACATCCTTTTTATTAAAATTCGCAGTCTATAAATTGCCAAGGAGCTGCAGTGGGCTTGGATCGGGATGGTGTGGGATTGGCATGGGGCTGGGGAGGAGGATGATGGCGTATGACTCGCGCACATGTTTCAAAAGACGTGTGTGTCTGTATCCAAGACTTTTATGAGACAGCAACAGGAAATGCATGGAAATGTTCTGGGCTGGGCTCCCTAAAAGTGGGAACGTGTGTTTCTCGAAATGGAGCAGGTCAACCCAAAAGAATGTGGAAGTGCAAAGAGTTTATAAGTTACTCAAAATGGAAATCAAATATTGCTTAAAAAGGTTAACGTTTATCGTATAAAACTTCAGTTTGAATTCTTGATTTGATTTCATTGGCAATAGATGAACCCAATAAGGCCATTAACGTGATTGATTTAGGATCCATTTCACACACTCACTTGCAGTAAATTTGTTTGTGGCAAGGACCTGTTGTTCTGTCGACACATTTAGGTCCGTATCCTGGCAATTTGGCCTCGATTTCATGGTCTTTGTGGTTTCTCCATCTCCAGTTTCCTTCTACTTCTTTTTTGTCTTTCTTTTTCTGCCATTCCATTTCACAGAATTTGTGGCAGAATCTAAGGCTGTGTCCTTCTTGGCAGGCACAGAAAATGCATATGTTTCGAGGGGAAAGCGAAGTACAAATGGCTTAGATGGATGCGCTCGTTTGTTGCAGTTGCCTGTCATTTTTATAGGTTTGTTTGCCTGCCGATCCGGCGACATTTGTAGGTGGTTTTTATTAGCCGCTGTCGCATGTGGAGCACAGAGTTATTATTATGATTTGTTTTTGCGGCTTTCAGTGCCCCAGAATGGAGTATAAGATTCAAGGATTTTCAAATCTAGATCTAGATATATTGTAGAAGTCTCTATAGATTTGTTATAGCTTTCTAATTGAAAATTTACAACAAGTAATCTAATTAATATGCTCTCCCCTTTCCCTCTATCAATAAAGCAAGCTCTCCTCTCGAAGTTAATTGAATTAGACGCCCCGAATAAGCCCTTTATTTTTATTTCTGTTTGACCCGCTCTCTCGTATAATTATAATCCAATAAAATAATAAACATATCGCCTCTCGTTCATCGTTCAATTTACTTTCACACTTTCACCAGCAGCAGCAGGCGTTGGCGAGAAGTTTTCCTTGCGACACGCCAACTTAACTAAATTAAGCCCCACAATTATTGGATGGCAGTGGGGAAAAGCCATATATATATAGAGAGAGAGAACCCCTACCCCTCTTACCATTCGCACTTTTCTCAATTGTTTTTTCGATATTGCTTTTCGTTATTATATTTTGATAACATGATTTTGTTTACACGACAAATACTCACGTAGCAATGTTTTACTGTTATTGTTTTGATACGATGCTCACCTCTTTTCCCTCGCCGGGTTTTCCACTCGACTGGCGCTTTTCTATTAGTCAGAATCATGGCTTGGCCACGTACGTATAACCTCCTCCCACCTCCCACTACTACCGCTCTCCCATCCGATTTTCAAACACGTAGCCTGGGCCACAAATTTCCCATTAAAAACGCAAAAGGCCAATGCATAAATGATTGATACGAGACGGGGAGGGGTGTGCGGTAGCTCAACGGTTGTTTAAAAGCCCTGGTGGGGGGTCAAATGTGAGCATTTCCGTCGCTCGACGACTTGAGCAATTCATTCACATACCCATCCATCCAGCCATCCATTCATAACTACGAATTATAGTTTATTGTCGTCGTAAAATGTTCGGTTCTCTGCCATTTGGCACACCTTTCCTAAGTACTGTTTACAGTCCGCAGAAAGCCTTCGATTAGCCAAATTGACTAGTTGCGTTCATTCGGAAAGGAAACTCTGGCTTCACCAATAATTCCCTCCATTATCCAGCCCCAGCTCCTTCTCGATGGACATGTCTTCCATTCATTAAGAAACTTGAGGCGTCTGCCGTTGTCTCCGCTGGCCAGACATTCGGCTTCCGCTCTGTGCCACATTATTCTTATCCCCACCCACAGAGTGTACAGGCGGGATTGCCTAAAGAGAACTTGGTTTATTGTGCTATGAAAATGTATAATTTTAAACAAAATTATTGTTGAAGTATGTTTATACTTTCCAAAATAAAAGTTTTAAAATTAAGTAGAAATTTTCAAAAAAAATCCAGACTACTATTAAAAGCAAAGCCCGTCTTATAGAGTTTAACTTGTACTTGGATTTTGTCTTTGCATTTCAACATACATATATTAATTGATATTGTTTTCGTGTAGCTGAGAAAAAGAGAGGGGGTTCGCCAGAGAGAGGGGGGTGACAAAGACAGTGGCGGAGAGACAGAGAGCTCTCCTAGCTGTGGGGGATCGTTATGTGAATTTCAATTTGCTAGTGTGGGCTTTCTTACGTTACTTGGCGTTACGTATGGGGCCAGTATATGGCTGAGCTGTGCTGACGCGTTCCGAGCAACGTGACAAACCAAACCAACCAAAGGAGGGTCTAAGCCAACTTTTTTTTTTGTTGTAGTGACGCACATTTGGTTGGAATCTGTGCTAACCTGGGGTCAGCATCTGGTTTATGCTGCACCTGCCCAGCCCTCTCCCATGGAAGAACCAATGTTGGGTTTATTTCCATTGCTTGTGCTCGTCCTTCGGCGTCCTTTATTGCGGACCTGATGCACTTGCAACGCTGCGGGAGTTACGTAAAAAAAATAATAAATAAAATGGCAGAAGCATACGAAATGCTGCTTTGGGCCATTCTTCTGTTATTTCAGCCAGGAAAGTTTCCTTCGGTTAAAACTACAACATGTGGTTACTTTAGTGTTTCATTTTGTGGCCTTTTAAATGTCGCATTCAGGAGGAAAAAGTCACAAAAGTGGAAACAAATCTGTGGATTCACTTGGCAATCAAGCTCTGTTTGTTTTTATACGCCTTTGAGAGGAAACAATTAAAAGCGTAAGGGAGTTCTAAAAAGTGTAGAACCAAATGAAAGTAGTAAAACAAACAACTTTCCTTTTGCCATAAGTTCAGCAAATAATTTCTTTAAAGCCCACCCAGGCCCAAATACAAAATCAAACCTAATTTGTGCATTTGTATGCATCGCACATTGGCTATTTTTCAGCACCTAAACACGATGTAGATGGGCCATTCATCATTTGAAATAAATCCCAACTAATCGCCACACATCACGTTGCCTTTGTAAGAATACCAATACCAAATACCCAATACCCACTACCAATCTAGCCGCAACTTTTGGCTAACGATTCTTTTCATGAAATTTGCAAATCGTTTGGCCATTCAAAAGTTTGTATTCTCTATTCTCTTTCTTTTTTTTTTATTGGTGCACACTTTTTAAGCGACTCACAATAACAAGTAAGGCAAAAATCGAAAAAGTTCGGTGCGAGAGGGGGGGTTGAACGTGGTGCGAGTGTGACAATTTTCTCATATGTTGGGGAAAATGAAAGAGAAAATTTAATTTGCAGGTCACGTAATTTGCTGGTGTATGTGTCAAGTTTGCTCTGCGTGCCAATGTGTGTGTGTGTGTGTGGGCATGTGTATGTGTGTCTGTGTACTTTAGTTAATAAATATGCGCGCACGCGATGTAAAAATATGTAAATCCAGAGGCAACACACACATATGGCCACTGAATCGAGGAGTCGATATTCGAGTTGGGGTTCTATTTGTTTTTCTGTTTTCGCACTTTACAGTTATGACCCAGTACATACATACATAGCTCTTATATGATATGTATGTAAATACTTTGGGTCTGTATGGAATTCCCTAGGGAATACTGACATTGGATAGGGGGAATGCATATAAGTCGAAATAATGTAATCCCAAAGATAAACTTCAAAGCGTGCTTGGCCTGGAAAAATGCGAAGATCATACTACAAAATAATAAATAAATAGAAAGTTTAAGATAAATTTATCAAATGCCAAGCTAAATCTAAAAATCTAAAGATCGAAGATATATAAGTTTAATGAACTCCATAGACTTATGTGTAAAATATCCTAAAATGCCTTCAGAATCTTTAAGAACCTGGCAGATGGCAGCCTAGAAGGCAGCTTTATGATTTCGGCCAGGAGATATGGAAATGGCTTACATCCCTGCCAAGCTTTCTTCCTTCGAGCACTTCTCCATCAACGTTTCCTTGCACTTTTTTCTGTGGCATACTTTTTGGGTTATTAATGTTAAAGTTTTTGTTGCTGTTTCTGTATTGTTGTTGCTGTTCTTGTTGCCGCCCGCCATCCTATCTGGCGTTGCTTTTATCATTAACTTTATGCAAAAAGTTTTGGTCCTGTTTCATTTTTTTTTTTTTTTTTCGAATGGGATGGGATGGGTTTGTTTTTTTTATATATTTTTTTTTTTTCGTTGATGCTGGCAGGCAGCATCATTTGCAAAACGACAAATAGTTTGGCTCACCGAACTGGCCATATGGCAGACAGGGCCATTGTTGAGATACCCGTTCCTTTGGCACACTTCCCTAATGTATCTATCCATCTCTCCTTGCAGTACAATTACCTCATGCAGTTTGATTATCTGCCCAAGTCGGACCTGGAAACGGGTGCTCTGCGCACCGAGAAGCAGCTGATAGATGCAATCCGGAGTCTCCAGGTAAGAGCCATTCCCTTCATGCCATACCATACCATGCCATGCCATCTATGCCATGCCATCCCACTCCATTGCATCGCATCTATTATGCACAATTTCACAACTAACATTACCGTCTGCAGACTTTTGGCAACATTCCAGTTACGGGCCAAATCGACTCGGCAACGGCCCGGCTAATACAGCAACCTCGATGCGGCGTGGGCGACAAGAATTCCGCTTACAGTTTCTCACCAGATAATCTGGATCATGGCAGCATGGGCTTTAGAGCACGGGTGCGGCGTTACGTTCTACAGGGACCCAAGTGGTCAAAAACGGCTCTAACATGGAGGTAAGTCGCATCATTTTAAGCATAGCATGCCAAGGAACAGGTCTGTTCCATGCTAGGATTAACAATTATAGCTTTCATATAGAAAAACGGATATTTCATGCTTACAGTAAAACATTTTAGAAATGTGTTAAGGAATTTTGAAATTCAGATTAAAGTGTTTTCGGAATTATCTCTTGAATTTCACCCTAACGAAATCAGTTCCTTAACCTTACCGTTGCCCTGCTAATTTCGACGACTTTTATGCAGTTTCAATGCTCCTTGGCATACCATCATTATGCATCACCCTGGGCAACCCCCCATCGACTGGCTTTCCATTCCCTCCTGCGGATGTTCATTTCAATTAAACTGCATGCAGTTCATTAATTTTGCAACGTTCATTTAGATGCGAATTTATAATTTTACAAGGAGCTGTAAGGCAGTAGTGGAGAGTTCTCCTGTTTCTGACAATCCTGATTCCGCCTCTCTGTTTTTTTTTTGTACCCCCGTTGTCCTGTGCATACGCGCTGTCAATTAATTCAAAACTCAAACGTTGCGTAGCTTGTTAATTTTTATTACGGCCATTGCACTCGCCCCCAGAATGGTATTGCATAATTTGATGCCAGAGAGTTTGTTTTTATTTTTATGTAAAACAATTCAGTACCAGAACCTTAGTTGGCTTCTGTTGTTTTGTTGTTCCCGGTTGTTGGGCAAGATGACCCGCTGCGTAGGAAAAACTTAAAAAGGTTGGGGTGGTTGCCTTTCATTAAACACTTTGCGCCAAATTGAATTTTATGATGAGCCGAAACGAAGGCGCTCTGATTGCAGCTGTCACTTTTAGTGTTGTGTTTGATTTTTAATGCGCAGCTGCATAATTGCGCTTGAAATATTAAACGAGGGATAGCAGTAGTTGGTAGCTGTAGAGGAGTCTATCTCATTAGGAAATTTTCCAATTAAATTTGCATAGCTTCGAGGAGTTGGTCTTTCGCCAGCGCGTTGCATACTTTCGGGCTGAGCTTGAAAAGTTGAAAGCTCATCGCCACATTGCACATACGCCATGGTGGCACTTTAAGCTGCTACTGTTGCTGCCGCTGCTGCTGCTGCTGGTGCTGGTTTCCCTCCATTCGGTTCATTGGGGTTCATGCAGCGATAGCTATTTAATTATTTCTTGTGTCGTCTACCCTTAATTGGCCATTAAGTGGCAAGCGACCAAAAGGGGCAGAAACGGCAGGACAATATTGCGACTAAATTAAAGCATTACGCAGCTTCCAGGATCCCCCGGTTACCCGGATCACAGCGGTGGTTGTTCGCATCAAATTGAGTTTACATGAAATATACATATACCGATGAAGTTGACCCGCCTCAGGCGATCTGGATATCAATATGTATTGACCCGCTTTTGGCCTAGCTGCATGTGTTCTCCTTAATTGCAGCACAAAGCGAAAATGAGGAGACGGAATGAAAGCTGGGTGGCCTTGTGTGTTTGGCTGCTTGTATGAGTGTATTTGTGTGTGTGTGTTAGCAAGTGTTTTTCCATTTCCGCTCAGCATGGAAATTGTGGGACGGAAGTCGTTCTTAGCAGTTTTGTACTCATTTTGTTTTCACCGCATTTTCGCGAGAACACACAATGACAACATCCTGCCACAAAGTTGTCGCCATCTCAGAATTCCTTCAGATATTAACTGTTGGAATTGCTGTTGCATGCACTTAGAAAAAACTAACTAAGAAAGTAACTTTAATATCAATTCAAAGAAATACAAAAACAAATTCTGATTAAAAACTCAGAATGGAAAGTAATATGTAAAGACCATTAGTTTAGTCATAATACTTCTTGACATTAGCAATACCAAAAGCTATCATAATACAGATTTTTTATTTGGGTATCAGTGCATCTACAAATCAACTGACAGTAGCAGCTTCAGCTACAGCGGAAGTGACCAAAAACTTGCACTTTGGGCAAATGTTTAAACTAAATTGGCAATTGTCCTGCAGGAGAATAGGGGGAGATTCGTTGTTTGGCAATGGAAATAGTCGTAATGTGGCATTTACTTGGCTGCAAATGAAGCTTTCACGCTTTGACCATTGTGAAGTGTTTACTCACTTTTCCTCTAACTTAAATCTGTCTTAATTAAGTCAGTTATGCAGTCGGGCTTGGCTCCCAAAGTCAACTTGTCAATTGGCAATTGAATGGAGCAAAAATTCTCTTTTTTCTTCATTCACTCTGTTTAAGCTTCCATTTTTCATTTTTCATTTTCAATTTCTCTCTTAATGCATCGGCAAACAATTGTCCAAGCTGGGAAAAGTGTCAATAAAAGGAAAACTGGTCTTCGCACCTGTTGCTTTTCCCAGTTACCTTTTGTTCTAGCTTTAAGTGGTCTTCATTCCATTTTTTGTTTTAGAAAGGCTGGGAAAATTGTTTGAAAAATTCTTGAAGTTTTGCAAAGGGACGAAAGTTTGCCGGAGTGGCGGAGAATTTTTTCCTAATTGAGGGTGTTTCATTTTGGCCACTTTTCGCCTGTTTCCCAGCTTTCTCTCTATTAGCAGCAACAATGTGGTCAAGGGCTGGCCATTAATTGCCCCTTTTTGTGGCATTAATAAACCGCAGCGAATGTGCATTGCGCACTTGCTGGGCATTTGTTAGATTTTTAATAACATTAATAAAGTGCACAATGAAGTCAAAGGAGCAGAACGCACAGAGCCCTTAACACGCACATTCTTGCGTCTGCGTTTATGCTTATTAGCGTGCATGCGAGCCATTAATACGACGCACTGAGAGAAAAATGGAAAATAAAAAAAAGGGGACGAGCACGTGGGCCAACCTTTTAGCTGGGACTGCTTCTGCTGCTGGTATAAAGAGAAGACGTGGACGGATGCCTTGTGGCAAACGTCATAAAAACTATGCTCCGCTCGGCAAAATATCGAGGAGACAAGGACCATCCCAAAAGCGCCATCTTGTTGTCCATGTTACAATGATAAAAAGTAATTTTATGACGGCCACTCGCACGCCCACAAAAGAAAAGGACCGGATCCTTGGACCAGAATGCAGCTCCACCTCGAGTTGCACTCATTGTCCTTGGCCCGTTTGGTGTCCCTGCTCCTGATGGCAAAGCTTTTAACCGAACGATGTAACCGGAAACTCCCGGGCAAACTCCAGATCAAGTTTGGATCAAAGCTTAAAGAGCTCCATCTTTCAAGAGAAATATTTTAAAGTTTTAAATTTTATTTTAACATATTAGTGAAAGAATTAGATTTAAACGCTATTTGCAACATCTGTGGCAAGTAAAAGTCATCAAGAAAAACTCAGATGGGAAGGGATAGGGAAAATAGTTTGGCAAAAATCAATTTCGGATGACTACAAAATAATAACCAAATTTGGTGGTCAACTGACCGCCAAATGGAAGATATTAACTTACCCCATTTATGTTGCATCTCCACTTTGCCACATTTATCCCTCTTATATTCCCTTTATTTATAACCTATTTTTTTACGATTTTTAATTTGCATAAAATAATTTGCTGATCAACACCAGCGAGCGTTTTTCTCATCATAATTTATTCGCCAGCCGAAGTAAATCACACGCACCAGGCTGAAAGAGATGCCAGCTACAGAGTGCGAAAGAGAGGGGAGAGAAGAGAGAGAGAGAGAGAAAGAGAGAGGGACATTTAATGCCGCAAACAGAACATGGCAATAGTTTTACGCTGCTTCAGCTTCTGTTGCTGTTGCTGTTTATTTTGCAGCAGTCATTTGCAGAGTTGCCTTTACTGCACTTTGTCCTTTCATCCTTCTCATCCTCATCGTCGTCCTTGTCCGCCGCCACTGTCCTCCTCCTGACATTCCTCAGTCTCCTCAGTCTGATGTCCGTCGTCCGTCGTTGTGCATTTTTTCGGGGGGCGGCCAGGGCTAATGGGCGTCCATTGGCCATAGTTTTCTGACTTTTCGTATGCTGTCAAGTGCTCGGCACTCGAAATTATTATCTGCCATTAATCATGGCCATAATGTTTGCCAGCTATAAAACGGAGCAAGTGCAGCCAGAACAGCACTGCAACAAGAACCGGACTGTACCCAGTAACAACTACTGGCAGTAAGCAACTGGCAGAGGGCGGCTTTAAGGAACTTCCCTAATGGAATATTATAAGTACGAGCTGAGCTATTTGGCTAGGAACCAGTTGGTTTATTGGGAAGGCTTTTCAGGAGGTGAATTTGAAAGGAGAAAATTCGAAATTTCAAGCAACAACTTTACAGAGAGTAAAAGTACTTTTCCTAATAATACATAAGCATAAGTGTACATATATAAAATTTATAGTCAGTTAAGAACAGTTTAAAAGTTCCTATAACTTTACAATCTTCCCTCCAACTGGTCAGTTATAATTTCGTGCATTGCTTTATTACTGTGACAATTATTTTAACTGCTGGAGATTTTTATTATGATATTTTTTCATAGAATTTCGTATCTGTGTGTTTTTTAAGTCATTTGCCACTTGTCTGGGGCGATTTTTATGGGGCAAAAAAAAAAGAGTGAATAAACCAAAAACAAAAAGGTGGCCTCAAAGAAACAAAAGTGCCGCGTACAGTAGGGAACAAAAGCTCCTTGAGGTAAAAGCTAGGAAGTATTGTAAACTAAGCTCGTGCATAAATAAAATCCTCAATTTGGGTTCATATTAAAATAGACATTTTGTGCTGAGCTCAGACGGAGCTCAAGGAAACTGTGTCAACATCTGTCTGTGTGCGGGCAGTGTCTGTGAAAGGATTGCACTAACACACACTCGTTCGCACACACAAACACCCGCTCACCGTGATATATGCCAAATTTATGATGTGGCATATTTTCTTATGCTGGCTTGGGCCATTGAATTTTGCATGAACTTTGATAGCATATAGGTTAGGGTCTCCATTCTCTCAGCTTACACAGATATATACTCACGTACATGCAGTATATCCTCTCCTTTGTCTTAGCGATTACTCCTTGAGTCGGCAATCCGATACCGCACAAGGTGTAGCATTTCAAAATTTAATAACCAAGTGGG